TATTGTACATCAAGAAGGGGACCAGAGGACACCTTATAGCGAGCGTCGCGAAGCTCAATAGACAAACGTGTAAAAACAGAGGAAATTCGGATTGAATTCTGTACATACATGTAGGTCAGGCAAATTTTCGTGTGCAATTTCCAGGAATTCCTTTGCTATCAAATACCCTTTGCGCGAATAAATAAAATAATAACATAAAGCATAAAAAGGCTTTCAGTTTGTAGAAATCTTTCAAAGAAACAAAAAATAACTCTGCGATGTTTTAATTTTCGACAAAAATTGCATTAGGTCTATAGTTTCAACTACATGTAGACGCTCGACTGTTTCCGTTAACTCTGACGAGCTCTCGTGTGAGATCACAGTCTAGATGTCTCGTGCGACTTGACGTTTGAAGTGGCGGATCAACGTTTCAGTTTTTTAAGGTACAACTACGATCGCCCCAACGGTCACACTGTAAAACATAATTATTATTGTGCATCAAGAAGGGGACCAGAGGTCACCTTAAATTGTGCACCAATAAATAAGGGGACATGGGGACACCTTATATTGTAGATCAAAAAGGGAACCAGAGGTCACCTTACATTTTTCATTGACAGGGGACCAGAGGTCACATTATATTGTACATCAATAATTGGACCAGAGGTCACCTAATATTGTAAAATTAATAGGGGGACCACAGGAAACCTTATATTGTACATCAATAGGGGGACCTGAATTCCTTATACATGTATATATATATATATATATCAATAGGGGGCCAGAGGCTACCTTATTGGTACATTGTTAGGGAACCAAAGAAATAAGGGAGCCCTCTGGTCTCCCTATTTATGTAAAATATTAGGTGTCTTCTAGTCTCCCTATTGACTAACAATTAGGTGACATCTGGTATCCCTATTGATTTACAATATAACTTATATAAGGTGATATCTCATCTCTCTGTTGACATACAAAATAAGGTGACCTCTGATCCCCCGATTGTTATACGATATTAGCTGACCTTTGTTCCCTCTATTGTTGTACAATATAAGATGACCTCTGGTCCCCCTACTGTTGTAGAATATAAGGTAACCTGTGGCCCCCCTATTGTTGTACGATATAAGTTGAACTCTGGTTTCCCTATTGATCTACATATAAGATGACCCCTGGTCCCCCTATTGATGTAAAATATAAGGTGTCTCTCTGGTTCCATTATTGATGTACAATATAAGGTGACCTCTGGTCCCCATGTTGATTAAAATATAAGATGACCTCTGGTCCCTCTAATGATGTTCAATATTAGATAACCTCTGGTCCCCCTATTGATGTACAATATAAGGCGACCTCTTGTCCTCCTATTGATGTACAATATAAGGTGACCTCTGGTCCCCTTATTGATGTACAATACATGTTGACATCTGGTCCCCTAATGATGTACAAGATAAGGTGACCTCAGGTTCCCTAGTGATGTAAAATTTAAGGTGACCTCTGATCTCCTTATTAAATGATATACAATATAAGGGTACCTCTGGTCCCCTAATGATGTACCATATAAGGTGACCTCTGGTCCCCTAGTGATGTTCAATTTAAGGTGACCTCTGATCTCCTAATGATGTACCATGTAAGGTGACCTCTGGTCCCCTAGTGATGTACCATATAAGGTGACCTCTGGTCCCCTAGTGATGTACCATATAAAGTGACCTCTGGTCCCCTAATGATGTACCATATAAAGTGACCTCTGGTCCCCTAGTGATGTACCATATAAGGTGACCTCTGGTCCCCTAATGATGTTCAATTTAAGGTGACCTCTGATCCCCAAATGATGTACTATATAAGGTGACCTCTAATCCCCTAATGATGTAACTTATAAGATGACCTCTGGTCCCCTAATGATGTATCATGTAAGGTGACCTCTGGTCCCCTAATGATGTAACTTATAAGGTGACCTCTGGTCCCCTAATGATGTACCATATAAGGTGACCTCTGGTCCCCTAATGATGTACCATACGGTATAAGGTGACCTCTGGTCCCCTAATGACGTAACTTTTAAGGTGACCCCTGGTCCCCTAATGATGTACCATATAAGGTGACTTCTGGTCCCCTAATGATGTACCAGGTAAGGTGACCTCTGGTCCCCTAATGATGGACACTATAAGATGACCTCTGGTCCTTCTATTGATGTACAATATATATAAAATACATGGTTACTGTCTTGAAATATAAGCGATAGTTGGGCGATGGTAAGAAAAAGTGATAGAAGGCGAGGCTTGCCGAGCCCTCTTACGTTTTCGATCCGAGCCCAAACATAGCTTTTATTTCAAGACAATTGTCATGTATTTTGTTTATCCTGCAACATATTTTTAACATTATCGACAGATTTAGGCACCTCTCTGCAGTTGAAACTATAACGCCATGGCGTAAACATTGCAATATACATGACGTCACAATGCTTTTAGAATGTCGGAATAGATGCATGAGGCTTTATTAGGGCAGTGACCGGCTAAAGCTTTGGTTTATTAGGTTACCTTTATTAGGTCAATGCAAAGGGTAATTGCAGGATAAAAGGTGGCCTCTGGTCCCCCTAATGAAATATAATATAAGGTCCTAGTCTCCCTATCGTTATACAAGGTGAATTCTGCTCTCTGTTTTCATATGCAAGCAATAGTTTACTCTGTTCTCCACACTGGTAGTTTCTGGTGAATGTTTTGCACACTCTTGTCTCCTTACTGATATACCATACCAAATGACATTTGGTCTCTGCATTGATATAATATACTTATGTACCAGTTGCAAGATATTTGTTCAAAGCAGGCTGAAGGCAATATATCTAGTAACTGTTTTGAACACTTTTGTCTCCTTATTGATATTCAATACCAGAAAACATCCGGTCTCCGCATTGATATGACACATGATTTTATCAATCCCATTGGAAGAAAATACTCAAAGCAGTCTGATGACAATAAATTTGATATGACCAGTCAAAAACGGATGTTCGCTTCTAAGCATTAAATTTAGTTTATTTGAAAACAAATTCGGTATATTAAATTTAAATTTTGAATTTTATTATCATTTAAAATTCTTAAAGTCTGAGGATTCTTTTGTCAAAACCGTAGTTGAAGCGCTTTTGTGCCTGAAATTGAGACCATCGAAAATTTTGTCTATTTATACTGCAATACAAGGTGGCAAAATAATTTGGTCGAATGCACTTTTGAAGTAAGTATGCACTTTTTTCAATGAGTGGTACTGTACATACATGTAGCTCTTTGGTCGTCCATCCTTATTTTTTCAGACCAGCGAGGTACATGTACACATCTACAACGTATGATAATATTGAACGAATAAAGAAAATCGTCTTTTTATGCCCGTGTACAATTTCTAACGCAATAACAAATTCATTGGTTGCTCAAACTGCTTATAATAATGTATGCATTGCTTGATAAAATTTAACAGCGAAATATTTGTGAACGAGGGGATGGGGTGGCACCTGTCCGACACCGAATTTTTTGACATCAACTTGTTGTCGTGTTTAAATTACCTTTATATTTCTGCAAATATATTAGAAAGGAGATTTGTATAAAGTTATTAAAATAATTATTTTGGAGTAAAATGTCTTATTACTACACAAAATGACGAACTATTCGCCTAAAGGACCCGAGGTCCTAGTTGAGCGTACGTTTTATCCTTCTGCTTACTACATATCTATAAGTTACTATAACACATGTATCAATCGAACTCGTGTTTATTTGGTATTCATGTAGACCATCTATTTTATTGGCTATTATATTTATGGAATTCAAATGAACCATTTTACCCACTGTTTCCTTTCGAAAGGAATAGGCGTGTCATTTCATGAGAATCAACGTTCTAAAGAATAGTTCAAAACGTTCATTCAAACGGAAAATTTTACGACTTCAATGCGCTTCATTGTTTTACACATTTTTTTTCTATCAGCAGGGCGATTTTGAAAAAAAGGCCCTAGAGAGTTCCAATTTTCGCCACAAAAGCAAAGAAAAAAGAGATTGTGATTTTTAACCCTATCCACCCCTTTCTGTTTGAATTCGTGAAAATCATTCAGAAATGTCATGAACACATTTTTTTGTAGAATATGTTTTTAAAAAACAGATCATATAGCAATTTCCTGTTTACAATTTTATTTTTAAAACCAGTTCTATCCTATATCTTTAAATGGGTTAACTTACAATTAGCAGCGGCGATATTATCAACAGAGTTTCCAAAAACCATTAATTTGGACCTGTTTTTCCTAAATCGATAAAATATCTAGTCTCGTTCAACAAGACCCTCGGCTGTCTCCGTAAATCTCCGATCTGCTGGTCGGAGTTTACGAAGACAGCCGAGGGTCTGGTTGAACGAGACCACTAAACGTTTATCTAGTTTTCGGTTTAGTATTTGGCAAAGCTTAAAATCTTGATTGTCTATATGACCTCAGCTTACGTTTAAGAAAAACATCTGTGTACAAGTATTTCTTCTCAACAGTTTAGGATCGAAACAAAAAAACAATCATAAAGTGTTTATAATATACACTTAACTCATGTACATGTACACTTCGATGAATAGCGTAGCCATAATGACAAAAAATGGAAAGATTACTTCGGGTATATAAATAAAATATGTGATTTTTCAATTCATTTCAGACATCAGTTGTCTGCTTATTTATTGTTTTTATTTTCTTTTGTCAATCTGTAATAAATATACACAGCACATTGACACTTATACATGTAAATATTTTTTTAAATAAATATATATACTGGGATTTAACTTTTTTAAATTTGTATCATTTTCAGAGAGCTGTATATCAACATGGCACAAATAACCGGTCAAAATTTATTGTCTCGATTTATATTATTTAAACTTACGTACAATAAAATATAGAATATTTTAAACAAAAAAATTAATGTTTGGAATATTCTCAGTTTCATGGTTTTTTTTTTTAATTGCAATTCGTAAGGACAAGGCTTTGAGTCAGGCCAGGTTTTAGAACATGCGGCAATGAGGAGCTAGTTTTCTGAAAAGTATACGTGCTCTTTGAAAAACTGCACCTCGAATGCAAGGTAAGACTTTTGTTGAAATAATGCCTTGTTGATCCTTTTTTATTTTGGAGAAAGAAAATGGATTGCATTTGTATTCGAGAAAAGAAATATGTGGAATCAATATTAATTCAATTTATCCAAAAAGAGCGCCGACTTGAATTGAAATCATTTAACCGTCCTACCGACACCGTTGTTCATGGACAAAGCGGATATGTTTAAAATATACATATAAAGGTTATCTATTTAGCAAAATCTTTAAGCCTGAAAATGCAAACATTTAAACATCGAATATAGGGATTAGTTATGCTACACATTACATACATGTACACCCGGTGACCGTCGTGGTAATGTAGATTCTTCCCCCATAGTAAGACTTCCCCCAGAAAGAGGGTTGTATGACGATAAAGCCATTCTTTAAATTCCCATATCTCCCTAGCCATAAACTCAATCTCTCAACATACGGCGCGCTCCGCAAGCTCCATTGTTGGAGCGGAGCGTAAAACGCCTGTGCGAAAGATTGGCCATGAACTCTGTCCATTTGCACATAACGTAACGGAGTCAGCCGAGGATTGCCGATCGATACTCTGTCTCTTCCCCGGAACTCTCGTAACAAGGATACGTCGTCCAAAGTGAGGCATCATCGCAACCCACGGCCAAAATGCATGATCCTTTCCCACCAGAGCTATATGAAACGTTTCTTTTTAGTATACAGTGGGATATGTCATTGACATTGTGAGGATGTTGTCCAGAGTCCATCCTTGTCTCAAGCTGTCTGTCCGTACGTCTGTAATTAAACGTTGACATTTTCAATTGCAATTTCCTCTCAAGAATCTTTTGGCCAATTTTAACCAAAATTGGTACTGTAACAAGTATCCCTGGGTGAAAAAAATCTAAATTTTTAAAATAAAGGCCCAAACCGATTCCCAAGTGGAGATTTAAACAGGGAAGATGTAAAAGTAGGATGGTGTCATCAAATAAGCTTCTGTAGAACCACTTGGTCAGAAGTTTAACTTATCAAGCATCCTAGGGCACTTCTTTGCAAGCCAAGGGTTTTCGATTCGAAATGTAGTGTAGATCACGGATCGGAAACCCTTGGCTTGCGAAGATGTTTCGGCAGTGAAGAATCTAAATTGATCAAATTATGGCCCTAGGGTAGAATGGGGTCAAAACAAGGAATTAATTTTAATTCTGTAATACCGGGTATATAGAAAAAAATCTTCTCAAGAACCACTGGGTCAGAAAAGATGAAACTTCATACATTGGAAGCATCCTTGGGCAGGGTAGATTCTAAATTGTTTAAATCATGGCCTCGGGGGAGGGAGGTGGGGGGTAAGATGAGGCCATAACAAGAAAAATTGTTGAAATCATGACGTACGCAGGAGGCAGGGTGGGGAACAATAGGGAATCAAAGATTTACATTGAAATATACAATGTATAGGAAAAATCTTCTTCTCAACAATCACTGCGCCAGAAAAGACTAAACTTAGTGGAAGAATCCTGGAAAGCATAGATTCTAAATTCTTGAAATCAAAGCTCGCGTTGATAGGGTGGGACAACAAAGGGGGGGAGGGGATTTTTCAAAATGACGTTTGACTTACTTTTTGAAAGAATTACTTTTACATGTACGTCATATTTCACCAATCAAAGTTATCGCCCTTTATGCTTCAGAAAACACGAAAGAACATGATGCATCATTTTGGCCTACATGCACTAAGGTATTTCCTTGATAACTACAGACCCCCTCCCACCCACCCACCCCGCATTATTTGTCTATATATGGAATACTAAAGAAAACATAGCTACTTTTTAAGTCAAGTTATGCCCCTTCAATAAAAAACGTATGATGACCTTAATTTTTTTTTTTTGCTTGGTTGATTGTGAAGGGATTTCAATCTCTCACCAGAGGACGCACTACGCAAGCTTCATTGTTGGAGCGGAAAGTAAAACACCCTCTGATGAGAGAATGAAGGCATTCCCCCCTGAAAAATATTAATGTAGGTTGTACTCCTCCCCCTTCCCCTGAAATCGCTCCCTCTGAGCCTGTTGTTGACTTCCATTTGTTTTTTTTAATGAAAATTTTCAGTAGTAAACATAAGCGTCGGAAGCAAATTGAAAGTTGGGTGGCTAATTTAATGTGGGGGTAGAGGTGGGGTGGGGGTGGGGGGCTCAACCAATAAAAAAAGGTAAACCCCAATTTGCAATGCCTATGTTATGTCTATTTGCTAAAACAGTGGCGGGGGCTAAGCCCCCCTAGCCCCCCCCCCTCCCCCCGGCCTATGGTAAAAGAAGATGTTTGAAAGGTAAAGGAAAGCTTTGCTCGAAGTCCCACCAAATCCACCAAACCCACGATATCATGTGCATTATATTTTAGCCTCAATCGATGGGAAATATAATAGTCTATATCACCTAATGACTATCTTTAGGGTTAGATTGCAACTTTCATGTCATTTGACAAAAAAAATTGCCTCAATTTAGGATGTTTGATTTTTAATACTATAAAACATTATAGCAACACTTTACAGATTAATCAATATGATGTAGTAAGTTGCCTTTTCACACTTACAGACAATGAATTTTGCCCCTTTTTAAAGTCCCCCCAATTACATTTCTGCTAATGAAAGTACTGTTTTCTTAGAATTCACCCCATTTTTGAGCCGAAGGCGTCTACATGTATATATAAAATTATCACGCAAGCCAATGGCTTGATCATTGTCTTGAAATAAAAAAATCTGACAGTTATTCCTCGTAATGAAATGCTCGTTAATTCACTTGCTATAAACCCCACCTACTTATGCCTCTCTCTTACCGTACCCCGCACGTGATTCTTTTGAACCACGGCAGTCGATGAACGCATAGTTATATGTAGCTGCAGAACTGTAGCTATCCGAAAATTATATTGACAGACCGGTCTGTACATGTATTTTGGGGAGAGCTACAGTTCTGCAGCTAAGTTATATGCATAAACACTGTTTCATAAACAGGGCATTATTTCTTATTTTTACCACCCTTTTGGTAAAAATACATGTAAATAGGGAATGTTATTTCCTGTTTACGACACTAGTGTCTGTGGGTTAAATATGTCTTATTTAATTTGGCTGTGAACGGAAGTTGACCCCACCCCTCTCCCACCACCACTGTCACATACACACACATCCAAAAAGTATTTACAAATATGAATTTTTTTTTGGTTTGTCAAAGGTAAAAATTTTTTTTCATATTTTCCATGGCTCCCCTTTTCATAACGATACTTCATGTCTGTAAAAGTCTATCAGAAAATTCTATATTTAATATTCCGCCCGGTTAGAGTTACATCAATTGAACTGAAAATAGATAAAGAAGATTCCTCTTGAACTTTACAAGCACATAGCATCGGGAAGGGGGTTAGAAGTGTGGCATCGCCCCCCCCCCAACTTTTTTAAAACATAGTATTACTATAGAAAGTTTCAGTGAGGTAAATTAAGCGTGTGTGAATAAATTTGGTACCAAATTTGGTACCGAATGTAGGAGTCTGATTACCCCCTTTACCTCCAACACTACGAGATAGTATTTTCCAGCTTGGACAATTTTTATATTATTCTTTTGCTTGTTAAGATTTTGTTGTTTCTTTCCGGGTAATTTGATTTTTTTTCTCCGGTCGTCCCTTTCAACAACCATGCTATGTCACTGCCTTATAGAAATTCAGAAAAATAGAAATTGTTCCTGCTGTTCTATTGAACCCTGAAAAATAGTAGATATGGAATAATTTTTAAGATTCACCCGGGATAGGAAATCATAATAAGACCAAGTCGACGACTTCGTTATTAAGCCGGAAATTATCCATTATTGTGAACCAGATTTATAAAGGCAGTCTGGAGTAAGCAGAAGAAAAAAAAATTCTATCGGACAATTCTATTAGCGAAACAAACCCTGCAATGTATGTAAAGCTGAACATTTAACCATTAAATGTTATCATCATCACACGACCAATGACTAATCGTTTCAATTATTAATTAATTAATTAATTATATTCATTAAAAAAGATTACATCTTCCATTTTGGATGACTAAATTGCAAATGTTTCTCTGAAAAATCTTTTACAGCATGGAGAACACGACGTCTCAGGAAAACACTACAACTCAAACGAACCAAAGGTGTTTGGAACTCACATTAGCGCTCTACAATGACCAGGGAATGGCTTTATATGCGGTAAATATTTATATCTTCAAATTATTTAATGTGCACCATGACTGCAAACTACACAGTTAGTATTAATCGCAAAAAAATTAAATAATGGGCAATTAAACAAGTAATCATATTCAAACTTTGTAGATATTTTTCTTTGCAATTTGGTGTTGGATACCAATTCTGAAAAGTGAAAACAATGACAAGTAAAACTAACAAAAAAGAACATTTCTTCTCATTGTATCACTACCCAACACTAATAAGACTGATAATTGGTTATGCCACCGTAAACAAATATTCCGGAGTAAATATTTTTTGCCCTGTCCGCTTGTCAGGTTTCTGTTTGTCTAAACCTTGCCCATATAACTTTTGATTGGAGTTATGACTTTAATCATTCACTTGTATTTCTTGTGACAAGAACTTTGTTTGAGTATTAATCTTTATGACCTCGGAAGTTTACTCACGTTTGCAAAAAATTATGTCAATTTTAAGCTTAAGGCAAGGTGAAAAAGTCGAAATCAATAAAACCCCGAGAAAGGACATGTCACAAAAAAATAAACATTTTAAATAAAACTTTTGAACATTTAGCACCAGGGAGTTCATATTTCATAGATGTATGCCTTGTGACAAGACCCTCTGAATACCAACAATTTTGAAGTTTGACTTGCATTAGAAAAAACTTCAACCTTTGCCATAAGCTGCTATACAGTTGCATCAGTGTTTTACAAACACAACTTGTTTATTAATGAAATAATTTTGACGAAGTATTTGAATTTTGCTAGTAAAAATCTGTTGTAGTTTAAACAATCCATCCTTTTTAAAATTTACACTTTTATCGAACAGATTGTGGCCACTATTATTATAACTTTTGTCGAAAAGAGACGATGTAAAGCAGAGGTTTGCCATGGTAGACCAGGACTTCCACTGTAAGTAAAATATTGTTCTTAGAATTATGAAATCGAACCTATTGATAATACATGTTTATCTTTATTTAGAGATCAACGCCTTGTTGATTGAATATTTATGGAATAATAAAAATGAATTTAATATTTTTGTTTAAATTTACATTTCGGCAGATATTAAAATACGTATAAACTACTATTTTTTGACAGGATTTTGCTATCATAAATTTTCAATTTAAGCTTAACAGAGCTGAAATATTCAAGTCCTTTTTCTGATCATTCGTTGTCCGTGGTAATAGGATTGTGGCCACAAAAGGGAATCGATAAAACACGGAAATACAAATATTTGCGGGGGGATCAAATGCAGAATAGCACAACTTGAATGACTCAGGAGAGTGTTGTGGCCTATGGGCCTCTTTTTCTTTCTTTATTTAGCCCCATAAATTTCCTTGATGGCACCACCAATTCCATCGCCAATGCTGCAGCTTTTGGGTGCACCCTTGAACATATCCTGTATTTCATTTTGAGTGGACCTAGATTCAACAACATTTCAAAATGGCTGATAGGTATGTATCATCGTTTCAGTAATATTCTCGTCGGTTCCTCAACAGAAATTATTTTGATGTTTTACTGATTAATTAATGTCCACGTAAACGACGATTCGGTCGCATAAAGGTTTTGGCCTTTCTGTCTGCAGTCTGTCTGCAAAAACTTAAACTTTGCCCGTAAGTATTGATTGGTTAAAGCTAGGGCATTAATAGGATGCATTGCATCAAGGTGTTTCTTTTCGCTCTTTATCATATGTGTAAAGCAACACCTCGATTCATTGGCTGACCTTTTAAAGCTGATTGGTCGAGAGTGGAGTCAAATTAAAGACTCAAAGAATCAAAAAAAAGTCACGGGACACTGAGCGGGGTGGACGTGTTTTCACCGCTCCCTGTCAATTTGACCGTTCGCTCTATTTGCGAGTTACATATCCAAATATTTAACCGAACTTTTGTGAAAAGAGGTTTCGGTGTGATTTGGATGCTTTTTTTTTGTGTTTATCTGGTGTTTTCATGGGATATAATTCGTTTAAATCGACAAGAGCTTAGATCTGCGTGAGTACGTACTCAGTCCTCAATGTGTCGATGTGTATATCTTCTGTGTATATAGTAACTTACCTGTGAATACCTGTGAATGCGTTAGTGTTTGAACATTTTTCTTGCTTTATTTATATTGCAAAATGGCACAATTGCTAAAACCCGTGTACATAAAAGATAGTGATCTACCCAAAGAGGAAAACGAACGTATATCAAACTTTGATATTCTCGATGCTGTCAGTCACAGTGTCGATGCCGATGCGATTAAATGCATACAACTTGATAGAAACCTATGGAGAATCTATCTCAATGACAAACAAAACAGGGATTCTGTTTTACTTGATGGTTTCGACTTCAAGAACCTTCATATTGATGTCTACGACACAAATCCTTACGCTGCTGGGCTTGAGAACCCTAGTGACGAGGCTCTAAAAGTCACCATTTGCGGAGTTCCGTTGTCAGTAGACGACAGTGCTATACTCGAAATGCTTACAAAACTAGGTGCTCGCCCAAAAAGTGATTTGAAATACGAGAAAATCAGAAACCCCTCAAATAACAAAATGACAAATGTGTTAAACGGAAATCGCTTCATATATGTCGAGCCACTTACGTGTAAACCTCTTCCAAGGTTTAGCTACTGCGCTGGCCTCAAATGTAAAATCCTACATCGTGGACAAGAATCTGAGAAGCCCCTACTAGCTTGTACAAAATGCTGGGAGAGTGATCACCATGCCCGTAACTGCCCGAATGAAAAAAGGTGTGCTGCCTGTAAATCGCCAGGACATGAACCGGGCTCGGAAATCTGTCCGAAATATATAGAAAATCAAAAGAATGTTGTGAATATTCAAGGAGAAAAAAATGTCTTATCAAATTTCTATCCTTGTGATCTCAAGGTTTTTGGCGAAAATTTCAAATCTGCAGAACAGGCGTACCAGCTCACAAAAGCTGTCCGCACCGGTAATCTTGTTGCAGCCGAAAGGATACGTGATACCAAGTCAGCTCTACAGTGCAAGCTTATAGGCAATACAGTCACTAGTACCCCTGAATGGAGAAAAGACGCAGATGACGTCATGGAGCAAATCTTGTGCGCCAAACATCTTGTGTAAAGCCAAACAGCGCTCTGTTTCCCTTCCAAGAGGCAGGAAAAACAGACAACAAGGTATTGAAAACTTTATAAATAAATAACTTGATGTGCCTGACATTTATTTTCGATGGCTTCAGTTAATATGTATCTCTGAACTGTAGAGGTTTAAATGACTATAAAAAAAGAGTAATTTTATATGATTGGTTAAACGATAGTAATTGTGATATTGCCTGTTTACAAGAAACTCATTTTGTATTAGAAAGAGAATATATGTATAACTCTAGGTGGAATGGTACATCCTTTCACTGTTTTTCCGCATCGTCACATAGCAAAGGTGTTTCAATTCTAATTAATGCAAAATTTCATTTTAAACTCATAAATCAGCAGACGGTAGAATGATACTGTTAAACATTGAGCATGAAAGTAGAATTATTACAATTGTAAATATTTATGCACCGAATACCGAAAATTGCAGAGTTGACTTTTTTACGAAAATGTCTAAGTGGATTTCAAAATATTGTATGAATGACGAAAATATTATTCTACTTGGTGATTTTAATTGTGATATTTTAAAAGAGAACGACAGAAGTTCAAATATTTTGAAGAAATTACATTTTCATTTTGATCTTGTTGATTTGTGGAAAACTTTAAAGACAGATAAAAATGGTTTTACTTGGTGTGATGGAAATAACACTCCAAAAAGTAGAATAGACTATGTTTTTCTAACAAAAAATTTTTGTTACAAGCCAGAAAATATATACTTGCGTAGGCCACCATCGGTCTCAAATACAAGGCTGAGTGACCATATTGCCTTTATATTTAAATGTGAAATTTCTTCGAATAGTAGGGGAAAAGGATATTGGAAGTTAAATACATCTGTGCTTCTTGAATCAAGCTATTGCGAAATGATAAATTCTTTTTTAACGAACTTACCAGATGATATCAAATTAGAGGAAAATCCGAAAACTAAATGGGAACTGATTAAATTAAAAATAAAAAATCTAAGCATAAAATATTGTAAGGAGAAAAGTAGAAACACAAAACAAAAAATAATAAAATTAGAAAACGAACTTGAGCAAATTGAGAGTCAACATCATATAAATATCAACATGTTACACAAAAAAGAATTAGAAAATGAACTCGATAAACTATATGAAAACAGGGCAAAAGGAGCACAAATAAGATCAAGAGCTAAAGGGATAGACGAAGGAGAAAAAAATTCATCTTACTTCTTAAGACTTGAAAATAAACATCAGTCTAAAAACGTTATTAATAAAATTACAAATGCTGGTACTACTTTTGTAAACACAAATGAAATTTTAAATCAGTTGTGTACTTTTTATGAAAATTTATACTCTTCAAACGATGTACCAAGTGAAAGTATCCAATCATATCTAGAACAAACAAATATAATATCTATTATGTCAAAGGAAGATAAAAAAGATTGTGAAAAATTTCCCACTCTGCAAGAATTTTCAGAGGCAGTGCTTGGAATGAAAAATAATAAATCACCAGGTCTTGATGGCCTGCCTGTCGAGTTTTATAAAATATTTTGGAAAAACATTCGTTATTTCTTGTTCGAAGCCATATCTAAAATATATATCGACGAAGAGCTTACCTCAACACAGAAGTGTTCAGTGCTCTCCCTTATACACAAAAAAGGTGAATTAGATAAGTTAGAAAATTACCGACCAATTAGCCTCACTAATTGTGATTACAAGATAATTGCATTTGTTTTTGCGAAAAGACTACAAAAAGTGATAGACGGATTAATAAGTAGAAATCAATCAGGTTATATAAAAGGACGAGATATTGGTAACAATGCGAGACTGATTCTTGATATATTTGAATATTGTGAAAACACGGATATGGATGGTGTACTTTTATTTGCCGATTTTCAAAAAGCATTTGATTCAATCGAATGGAATTTTTTATTCAAAACATTAGAAAAATTCAATTTCGGTGAAAATTTTATTAAATGGATAAAAATTTTATATACAAATCCGCAATTCACTATAAAAAACAATGGATGGATTTCGAGAAAGTGCAATATGAAAAGAGGAATACGTCAAGGTTGTCCGGTTTCAGCATTATTATTTTTATTTACAATGGAAGTTCTAAATGAAAACATAAACAGTTCAGATTTAGTTAGAGGTTTTAAACATGAAAACATGGAAAATGAAATAAAATGCATACAGCATGCAGATGACAGTACCTTTCCCTTAAAGGATATAAACTCTTTGAAAAATGCCATAAAAATAATTGAAAAATTTGGAAATGCATCAGGAACCAAACTTAACTTATCAAAAACAGAATGTATCTTACTGGGGAAGCTAAAAAAACATGTTTAAAGATAATACATACGTAGGAAATGTTAAGATCAATATAAATACTTTAAAATGTCTTGGAATTTATATTGGACACAACAAAATAGAGTGTAATGAAAAAAAACTGGCTATGTAAACTGAAAGAGTTTGAAAAAATTCTGGACTCTTGGAGAAAAAGGAAATTAACTATTTTCGGAAAGAGTCAGATTATTAACTCCTTAATTATTTCTAAACTTTTATATGTGGCAACTATACTTGAAAACCCAGATCAGGAAATTATAAAGAAGGTAAATAAAATAATTTTCTCTTTTATATGGGGAAAAAAAGAAAGAATCAAGCGTAAAACTCTTATCAGGAAAATATCAGAAGGGGGGATAGGTATTACCGACTTTGAAACCAAAATTAAAGCCTTAAAGGCATCATGGGTTACCAAACTTGTTCAATTAAACAACGATTCAAACAAACTGTTAAGTGCTTGTTTAAGAAGATGTAATATAGATATCCCTTATTTGTTGAATACAAATATAACTAAAATACAAGACTTTAAAATTAAATGTCTCCCACTGTTCTATAAAGAAGTAATATGTGCATTCAATGAATGTAAACAAAATAATCAGGAAAAATTCCAGTTACAGCATATATGGTTTAACAAAAAGATAACTTATAAAGAAAAACCACTTTATCTTTCAAACTGGATCAAAAGTGGTTTTAAATATGTTAATGATCTATTTAATGACCAAGGGTTTAAAACAATAAATGAAATTAAAGAAAAATTAATATGTTCCCAAAACTACCTTTGTGAATATATGATTGTGAAAAGTGCATTTAAAAAACATATTCCAGAAATAAACCTACAATGTAAAGCAAATATATGTAATCCACAGCTTCGCTTCAACTTTCAAGGACATTTTGAAAATGTTGAGGGCAAAAAATCTAAATTCTTCTACAATATTCTGTTAAAGAAAGCATCAAAAAATCCTATAATGGAAAGAATTTGGGATGAGAAATTTAAGATTGATGATTACCACTTATGGGAGAACATTTACATGGAAAAGGTCAAAAGAATATTTGATAAGAATGTGTCTGAGTTCAATTTTAAATTAATGCATAACTTACTGACCTGTAATAAGTATGTTAGTAAATGGAAAAAAGACTTAAATGTAAACTGTTCGAATTGTAATGTAGAAGAGGACATTAAGCACCTTATTTTTGATTGCTGTATAGTAAAACCAATTAGGAGTAAAATAACATTGCTTTTAAACATAGATGTGTCATGGAAAGTTATAGTCATTGGTTTTCCAACGTATTGTAATAAAAATACCTTCATTTTAAACAATACATTGTCCTTCATTGCCTTCAAAATATATAAATATAAAATGAAATGTAGACTTTTAAATGAGGATGTGACTAGTGAGGGTTTATTGTGTTTCTTAAAAAATGCACTTACTCACTTCTATTTCATAACAAAATTATCAAAAACTATTGTATGTAATTTTGATATCATCAGAGAACTGTCAGAAAAATTATGAAATTATATATTATATATTGATCCAAAGGTGACCTGGCCTTTGGGGACTACTTTCGTAGGGGGAAAAGTGGACTCTTGTGCGTTGGTGTCCCCCTACGACTATTTCTTATGTCTGTTTTTTTTTCTTAATGCTATATGTACATGAAAATGTATAAAGTACAAGTATGTGGAATATTGTATTTTTTATATATACAAATAACTGTATTTTTTTTTCAATAGTTCTAGAATGTACTTACTCAGTACAAGTATGTGGAATATTGTATTATTTATATATACAAATAACTGTATTTTTTCAATGGATATATTTTATTGAAGTGTGGACATCTGAATATATGTATATCAAAAATCAAATTTAATTAATTATTTCTATCTGATCCAGGGAGCCCCTGGCACCCCAGGTGAAGATATATTAGGAGGGCCTCCGCGGAGGTATTACCTCCACTTTTTTTTGTTAATTATTAGTGAAATAAAATTGAAAAAAAAAAAAAAAAAAAAAAAAAAGAATCAAAGAAACGCAAACCACGTGCAAGTGTTCTGTAAACTTTAATTTGTACTACAACACAAAAGGCCAAACCGATTCAATCATATTTGCTCCGCCTACTACGGGTTTAATTGGACAGCGGTTGTTTATTCCTTTGCATAATACATAGTAACCCGCTGTCATGTATATATAATTTAATTTGGGTGTTTTAACTAATCGACACTCAGGAAGAGAGCCAATGTTTAATAAATGTTTAAGAATAGAGCAAAGAAGAGCTCAGACTCTCACGTAATGCGAAAAGAAACACATTGGTAAACTGTATTCCTTGTGACAAGACTTATCCTTGACCTTAACTTCTAAAGAGTTTTGCGGGATTTAATACGCTTTAGTATACACAATTTTGACATTTTACCCTGACTTGAAATATGACTTAGTTTTGAATTTTCATTCCTTGACAATAAAGTTTTGAATGTTGTAGCTAGTATTTTCATATTCCACTGTTGTAGTCTTTTATAAAAGAAAGCACATTATTATAATTACTAACAATTGTGATCTTTTCATCTTGAACTCATCTTTATAAATAAAACATTTAGGAATAAAACATTACCTTAGCATAACTTTTAATAAGTTGCTTCAGTCTTTCATATTTCACGTACATATATATTTTAAGATTCCTCGTGGCAAGGTCCGAAGCAAAGCCTTTTTTCATAAGTACAATATTTAATTTTTTTGACTTCCTGTCTTTTACATTAGAGTTTTGAAAAAAAATAAACCTTCACAAAATATTTTGAATGGTTGCTATTTCACTGGTATATTTTCTAAGACAAGACCTTTTGTTGGATACAAACGTTTTTCTAATCTCGAAACCACAGTCTTGCAATTTGACTTGCGTTATTAATCAAAGTTACCTGTGTAACTAGCTGCAGATCTGTAGCTCTCTGCTTGAGAAATTTCGGACAGATAAAGCAGAGAGCTACAGATCCAAGCGTTGTAAAAACCTTCGATTTACGCCGACGATTTTTTGTCGCTAACTTTGGGTATTTTTTGTGTATTTTATACTTTTCCCAGTTTTAAAAATAATTTAAAATGGTATTTAATTATTAATCATACATTCAACTTCAATTCCTGATCATTTACTTACCTCTCAACGCTAACAAATGTCTGTTTGTGGTTACGGACGTCAAAATGGAACTCTTTTAAACCGAAACTACAAAACTATATACAGGACTGTTTCGGACTGTTAAAAGGTAGACAAAGTATCAAGTATAAGAGTTAAATATATGAATTATTATAGGATACAATTCTAAAAGCCAGAGAAAGCTTAAACTACATGAAATAAATACCTAAAGTAGCGACAAATAATCGGCGGCGTAAATCGAAGGTTTTTACAACGCTTGGATCTGTAGCTCTCTGCTTTATCTGTCCGAATTTTCTCAAGCAGAGAGGTACAGTTCTGCAGCTACTGTGTAACCTGATCAGGGGCATCAGCGTTTCACATACATATCCTGTTTTCATCATGTGTTAAAAAAAATTACTTTAAATAGTGAAGAGGCATTGATTGGGCTAAGTACATAATTCCCTGTGGTTCCTATCAATCTGTTTGAAAACTTGAATTTAAAATATATATTACCATATAAACTACTACTTGTATTCATAATCACATTTAATTAAAAAAATATTTTTGTTTTTAAGCACCTACATTTTTCCTTGTTTGCTTTTTGATGTCTATGGTATATTATCCTATATTTGCTTGCTTGAATTCATCGTCCCGCCTGGTTGGATCTATCATTGGGTTTCTCTATACCCTGTTGTTGTGAGTATTAAAGAAATTAATGCAATGATGAACATCTTACATTTAAATTGTTTACTTGTTTGGTACGATATTTACTTCATTTGACTGTATGGTTATACAATGGATGTTTCTATATTTCGACAGGTTCTTGGTTGTTTTGGCTCACAATTACCTCTGCAACGAGACTAACTGGGTAAGATATAGGCATCGTGATATTTTGAAGTAAGTTTGTATAAAACTTAGCTGTGGTAATCTAAAGAATAGATTTTTACAATACCTTTATTTAAATTACAGGAATGGGCTCTCTATGCTATCGCTCTAATTTCTGAAGTTTATCTGCTGGTGCTCTTCATTTACCGAATTGTAACTGCGCTGTGTAAGAAATCTACCAATGTAAGTAAATCAAACGGTATTCTAGACATGATACATTTTTAAAACTTTGCACTCAAAGTCAGATGATATTAAAAACAATTATCCTTTTTTACAATTGTAAATTTTAGTTGAAGGAACCTCTAGTGAAGATTGATCAACTGATGCATGTCAAATATCTACTTCAGAAACCCAAGAACAGTGCTGAAGAAATGAACATGAAGTAGTTTTATTTCCCTTTATTTTTAATTCAATGTAGTTTATACACTTGAACGGATAAAATATTTCATTACAATAGATTACATAAAAGGTTAAGGGTATTGCGCGTTTCTGTGGGACTTTTATACCAGGTAACCTACATGTACATTGAAGGACCCTGTTTTAGAATGCAGGTTAAAAGAATTGAATATATAACTTTTTTCGGATTACCCACTGGTTACATACTTTTAATGCTTGATTATCGTGAAACGAAGAGTCCATAAGACTAGTGCCTATGGAAAAGAAGAGCGGGAACTAGCAATGGCGTATTAAATATGACCACCTTCATATAATATAACCACAGCATAATATAATAGAGCACACCATCTTGATATAAAATAACCACAGCATAATATAATAGAGCACCGTCTTTATATAAAATAACCACAGCATTATATAAAAGAGCACCATCTTCAAATAAAATAACCACAATATGATAAGAAATAGCCACATAAGGCAGCTAAAGCGTTCCATATGAGGACTAAAAAAGGGGGAAAATTATGCTGTAATATTTATATGAAAAAATACGGAAAAAGTATTTGGTCAGAACAGGGAGGAGGCTTGAAAATTGTGGTAAACACCCCCAACCCCCTCAATAAGATCTCTTTAGATTTGTTTCTGTCGCCTATAACGTGGTCATAGTTAAAAAAAAAAACACCATGAATATGAAAATAAAATTCTATACTTAAACTTAAGTAAGTGTTTCGAGTCTAAGCACATCTTTTAATTTCATAGATTCCGTGCTGCTTGGCATCATGAAAAGGTCTCCTTTATATAAAATGTGCATTTGCGTGGTGCATTTAAATTTGGTA